TCTACGTTTTTGGAACTGAAACATGGCTAGATCCGAAAGCTAATCCATCCAATATGATTTCTCTACTATGAACAAGCTAAAGAATGGATAAAATGGGCTAAATATGCTTATAAAGGAGAATCAATCATAAAAATAGGAGGAATCTGATTATTACCTCAATAAACTCTGAAATGGGTGCAAGAACTTGGATCTTCTTCTTCTCCTTTGGATCTAGTCTCCTTCTTTTCTTCAAAACTTCAAGATTTACACAAGAAATGCTCAAATACTCAATGGAATGGTTAGGGTTTGCTAAATAATGCTTTGAGGGTGAAGGAGACGAGTTTGGGGGCTCATAAGATGGTTTAAATAGGGTGCAAACCCGGGGATTTAGGGTTTCTACCTGGCAGGCCGACTCGCCGAGTCCCGAATATGGACTCACCGGGTCGCCAATCTATACGCTGCTCAAGATCACGACTCTACTCGAAGATTCGGGCCATAGACTCATCGAGTCCCTCTGCAAACTTCTAAAATAAATAATATAAAAACAACATACCAGAGACGGGTCGTTACAGTAAGTTGAGCTTGTGTGCGTGTGTGTGTGTGTGTTCATGATGTTAAAGATAGAAGAAAGGACTCTTTGAGAAGCTTTGGTGTGGGATTCAACCTTGTAGATCTGAGATCTTCATATGTTTAGGAAGCTCCAGAAGGTATAAAGTCTTGAACATTACTAAAATTCTTAGAGATCTAGCGATATGGAGTTTTATGAGGTTTGTCCTTTTTTCTTGGATTTAATGAGTAAATGTACTTTAAGATCAACGGAGCCGCCTTTTCAGCAGATTTAAGTTGTGTTAAGTCATAAGAATGCTTTCTTGACTCACTTAGTGCTTGCATGAAAAGTGTAGAGCTCTTTAGTGGTTAAGAATAAATAGGAGGTGATTTGGTCTTAATGTTGCATGCATAACCATAAAGTTGGAAAACTTATGGTTAAGAGCACCTTCCTGGACTTGGATTTGGATTTTTGGACATTTAGACTGAATGGATTAAGCCCTTATTCGAAAATATGCATGGCCACCGCGTACACTACGCGTACTAGAGCTTACGATGAGCGTAGGTGGTTAGCAACACATTTGTAAGTTTGTTGGTCAAGGCGGAGTACGCTGAGCGTACAGTTGGGTTCGCCTCGCGTACTCAGTCTGTTGGGTTTAGCAAGTTTGGGCCACCTTTTTGGCCTTAGATCCTAGTTTACATTTTCCAATAAATATAGAAAATTTGTAATTTTCTTTGTTCCAACTTTTTGTCTTAATTTGCGACTGACTAATTGAGTTGTATGCAAAAAATATTAAAATATGCTTAGCATTTTATTTATTCTGTTTAAACAAAATTATAATTTTCAACATGTTCATTGTTAGGAGAAAGACTATGATGTATTTCCATGTTCCATGGAGCAGCGGCTACTTTCTTAGTTGCTAAAGAAGAAGTCAACCTTGCAGACTACGTTTGGTATGCGGAAACGACTCAGGATCTTCGAATTCATGGCATTGGTATTACAATTAGGAAAGTTCAAATGTATTTTTCTATCATTGGTAAAAAAAAACTAATTTAAATCGCATTACAATAAATATCATAACACTACTACCAACCACCTGACCACATCTAGAGAGAGAGAGAGAGAGAGAGAGAGAGAGAGGAACCGCCACAAATCCCCGACATCTAGATGGTAAATCATGTATATCATGTTTGGATTTTATAGGCAACTAAATTTTTTTAATCCGAAAGTCTTTATAACTATAAATGATTGTTAAAAGAAATTATTTGTTGCTTCTAGGTTTTGTGTTTATGTATTCATTTATATTTAATCATCAAATAATATAAAAGAAATGTATGTTTTAATTAATATTTATTAATAAAAAGAAACAAAAAAAAGTTAACTATTTGTGGTATTTTTTTTAATCATTGCTTAATTAGTATTTTGGTAAAAAAAAAGTGTTTTTTTAATAATTACAAAAGTAAAACTAGTTTTAATGATGACTTTTGACTACGGATTTATTTAGTAAAAGATCCATCTAATTAGACCATTTAATAGTTTTAAAGGATCCCCTCATCATTACCTTATTTTTTTTCCTCAAATAAACAAATCATTATACTAATAATTACCTTTTAATAATCATCATTACATAATAATTTTATGTCTTTTATTTATAATTATTAAGTACTTAATAAATAATGATGATTTTTTTTACTAATCATATTACCTTTTTATGTAAAAGTATTTTAATAATCTTTTTTAAACTTGCTGCAAAATAAAATATGTTAAATATAATTTTTTTTATATTTTTTTAAACTAGCAAAATAAAATAGGTAAAATATAATTTTTTTTTTTTTATATTTTTTAAAACTTTGCAAAATAAAATAGGTAAAATATAATTTTTTATATATTTTTTAGATTATTAAACTTTCATAATAAAATAGGCTAAATATAATTTTTTTTTTATATATATTTTAGGTTATTTGTATGTAATTTATTAAAATCGTTTTATTTAAAAATATTATAACAAAAGACTACAAATATGACATACTAATAATAAAACAAAAATTTGAAAGCAATACATATCAAAAGAGTTCAATTACATTCATACTTAATCATTGATATGTATCCAAGGTATTTCAGAACTACGAGGCCTATGTTGATTGTATAATTCGAAACGCGACCAATACATAGTTTGCTAGAAAGATGCAGACGAGCTTTTATGAGCATTCCAATATGTTGTGGTGGGAGCATTAGGTAATTTCCTTTTAAAGACACCGAAATATAATGTCTGCCTACAAGTACCACTGTAATGTTTCGGTGAGATTGAAACTCTTCAAGACCTCTCCAAAGAGGGAAGCAGGTTGTAGATTGTTCATGGCTTAGACAATGAACAATCACACCAAACTTGTTGGCAATCAAGTAACCAGTCAAAGGCATAATCATCCAATTTCGCAAATATGCCGGTGATTCGAACCAACATAAAGACTCGTATACCTCATTGAACCCATTAGTAAAAACTTGTTGGTATGCATAAAATTGACTTTCTAACTCTTTAAGCAATTGTTGCCTAATGTATAGCCATTGGTCCTCACTATGCCCTAGACTAACAGCTACCACTCGAAACCCACAGTTTCCATCACCGAGTACATCTTGTATCTTTTCGATGTAATCATGAAATACATCAGGAATACTCTTCATTAGGAATGGATCATGCATCCGTGGTTCTTCATTTAAGTCAATGTCGTACGAATAATTATGCCTTTCAGGTTCTTTATATAAATCCAACCCAATGAAGTCTGATGTGGTAGAGTCGTTGCATCTAGGAGGAGCTTGATTTGGAGTGTTGACATTCTTTTTATGTTGTTTCTTCATACTCGGCCGTCCACGGATCTTATTTTGAACTGTGGGTTCTCTAACATCAATTGTGCGCGGATCGTATATCTCTTTTAGTTTTTCCAAATAAAATTTTTTTCCGACTTTTGTCTTCTTGTTGAAAATTTCTTTATACTTTTCAACTTCATCATCGCAACGAATATTGCCTTTTTTTTTCAGGCTTCGTATCACAAATACTAATCTTTCTCCAAAAGATATCTATTAAATCCAAGGATATTTCTTCACTTGTATTAAAATACAAAATAAATATTTTTGTAATATTTAAAAATTTATATATGTTGTAATTGAACATAGTAACCTGAGTTTAAGTAAACAGAAAACATGAAAGCACATGGTAACCCACAACTGGTACGGAGTTTGCAACCACAATTTGAGGAGTCTAACTTTAACGCATTTAACCTTTGGAGCTCTCCTACTATTATATCAAGAGCTTCGTTTGAAACAGAACCTCTTTGTAACTCGAAGCAATACAAATTGTGATGCTTATATCGAAAAATTAAGCTTTTTTCAAAGCTTTCATTGATTGAAGTAAGTTGTGACTGCACAATTTCATTAATTCATTGCACAAATCTATCGAGATTAGAACTTGCAGAGTCCAAAAATCTCTTTAAATTTGCATGTGCAGTCTCGACTCTATTGGTTGTGTTGTTTCCAAAATTAAGATGTTGATCAATCCAAACAGATACAAACATTTCTTTGTACTTGTTCAACCAAGTATCTTCTATGTATTTCAAAACACCTGAAGGTTGTGATTTAGAAATATAGTTAACAAATACATAAATAAATAATAATATGAAGGTTATGATTTAGAAATATAGCTAAAAAACAAGCTTATATGGATATTTTATCAACATTGATTGAAGTCGCATGTAGTTTTTCATGTAATCGATCAATGTTGGAGACTCAATTAGTAAGTTCCATAATGATCTAAAAAAGCGTCGATCATCTTCCAACGTGATAATTTTATTGCAATGCTTCAAAATGTTTTGTTTAATATGCTATCTACAAAGTAATCGGGCAACATCCGGAAAAATTGTTTCACATGCCTTGTGTGTGATTATTACATGTGGGTGCATACACGTATCAAGCGTCAAATTTAGACAATTTAACACCCAAGTATAGCTGGCCTCCTTTTCTCTATGTATAAAGGCAAAGCCTACAAATAATGTCTTTTGAGTTGATGTAACACCAACAATTTAAAACAACGACTTATTATATTTGATGGTTTTGTACGTGACATCTATTATCAACGCATGTGGAAATGCATGCCATATCTTCCAAGATGTTGGATGAACGAAGAATAAATTTTCTAACTCATTTGAATCACATGTAGTAAACTCATAAACATAATCATTGGTGTGTAAAATGGACATAAGAACCTGCATTGGAGTTCTTCCTGCTTGCTCGTGCATCCGAATACTTTTAAAACCCTAAACCAACATGTAAATTAAAAAAACCCCTAAAATCCTAAATTTTTTATCAAGCCGCCAAAGTTCTGTCATCTCACAACCCTCACAATCGACCCTCAAGATCGAGCAGCTCCATCCGGCAGCAACACCCTCCTTCGGCCGGACAAAAGCCACCATCATCGCCCCTCATCTCAGGCAAAGGGAGCATCGTCGGTGGTCATCGATGCTGAAGAGGAAGGGAAGAGAAAGGGACTACGTTTCCAATTGGTGCAGTGGTGAGATGCGAGGCCAGAAGGGGGATTTCCGGGACATGTTAATCGATCGCAAGGGGGCCTGAGGGAATGGCGGCCGAAGGAAGTAGCAGTGGGCGGCGAGGGAATGGCGGTCGAAGGAAGCTCCAACAGTTGCCTCCACTGGTATCTATCGCTCCCTCGTGTTTTTCTCTTCGAAGACTGTAAAATTCAGACCACCACCAAACGATTTCTCTCCCTCTCTCTCTCACTTTCATTTTCTGTTCTCTCTCTCACTTTCATCTTCGGTTGGAACGCCATCGGTGGTCGGACTGGAGGTGGTGGTGTTCAGTGGAGGTGTTAAAAGATAATTACAAGTATTTTCATTTTACCTTTTGTTAAAATCAGAAGCTATTGTTGTTTGTTTACAGTAAAAATGTTTTGACTTTATATTAGATGTGTTGTTGTTGGATTAGTTGACAATTAATCAGCTATTAAGAGTATACATTTTTCAATGTTTGAAATTTGTAGATATCAATGGTGTAAATTGTGAAGATCAAAATTAAATTTGTGAGGACCAAAACTGAATTTGTAAATATCGAGCTTGGATTTGTTATAATATATATAATATATGTTGTGAGTTTGGATTTGTTATAATATATTATAATATTTGTTGTGATATTAATGAAGTTCAATTAAAAAAATTAAATAAGATTGTTAGATTATTTAAAATAAACTTTGATGTTAACAAATTACAATGTTCAATGACTTTTATTTTTACAAAAAAAAACTGAAAATATTAAACTTTCAAAACATAAAAAAGCAGAAAATATTAAATTTTCAAAATCAAAGTTTAATTTCCCAAGTGTCGAAAAAAACATCAGTTTGATTAAAAAATCATAATTACATGGTTTTATAAAGACATCTGGGAACCAAATAGTAGGACTCTTTAGTAAAATGTATTGCCTATTTATTCCTAAATATTAAATATTCCAATACATTTGATTGTGCATGTATTATATTTTTAATTATGTATTCATGATGACAACTCCATTACACGTTTATATGACGAATTAGAGGTACAAAAAGGTCCCAAACCTTCAAGCTAGAATAGGATGGGCTAGCTTGTAGGGCATGGCTTGTGGGCTTATCTGGGGAATTATATTTAGGGTGTGCTTATGCTATACCTAAGCTTTTTTACAATCAGGTTTTTTGGATCGGTTTGGATTTTGGCTATTAGATTTATTAAGCATGACATATAAAGATTTTTCAACATATATTAAAACATAAAAGCTTGCTTAGATATACATCAACCGACTGATAATGCTATATATACCATAATTAATCAAGAAACCAAATAATTAATTTTTTTTTTCAATTTTTAAAACTTATATTTCATCAAAATAAATAAATAAATAAATAAAAATAAAAATACAGAAATTCATAACTTTTTATCTTTTTTCCAATGATATAAAATTCAATTTTTTTTACGTCAAATTCACAATGTGAATCTTTGAGAATTCACAATGTGAATCCAGATTCACACGGTGAATCCGAAAAATATTTTTCGCATTCACAATGTTAATATATAAATTTAGATATTTTTAGATTTTTTTTTCGATAAAAAACAAGCTATAGAAATTGAAAAAAAGATTTGGTTCTTTGAAGAACCAATAATTATGGTTCTCTATTGAACTTTTCTATACATATATATATATATATATATATATATATATATATATATATATATATATATATATATATATATGAAATCTAAGCAAGCTTTTATGTTTTAATATATATATATATATATATATATATATATATATATATATATATATATATATATATATATATAGAGAGAGAGAGAGAGAGAGAGAGGTAGGTTCAAATGTTTTCAGCAACTATTGTGTGCATGAATGCACAAATAGGAATTTAGGAAAAAAAATAAATCATTAATAATAAATATAAGGGTATAATAGTAATCTATACTATAATTAATTATGGTAAATTGATACAATTAAATAATATCCCCTTTTAAATTAATATATCAGTTTTAAAACCTCACCCCCACCAGATTAGGGTTGTACGCTCCCTCTTCATCTCATACAGTACCCACACACACATAGAGACCCGGTAGAACTACTCCACCCGCATAACAGGTAATGATCCACTTTCCGTCTTAGGCCTCCACACACAGAAAATTCCAGAAGGTAGAGCTTCCAATTCGTCGGCTTCTGATGATGAACACGAAGAAGATTCTTCTGGTTCATCAATGAACAGCTTCCGTAATGAAATGGTGATAGAATCAGAAGCATGAATCTCATTATCCTTTGATTTAACTTCATCCTTGATGTGAAGATCGCGATTGAAAAGAGGAAAAACAGTCCAGCCTTGCGAATCGTGTATAAAGATTTGTGTAGGAATCGGCTTCCAGGTATGCACTGTATTATCTTTTTTATTGTAAATTTAGTCACATTCATGTATTTATTAATTACATATGTTGTATGTTTCATCAAATGGAGTATAAAGATTTGTGCATCTGATTTGCCCACCAAATGTTTGTTAAAATGCTTGAATCAAATATTTCAGCCATTATTTTTATTTTTTTATATATTTTTTTTTGGTAATATTTGAGCTATCATATATCTCTCATACTAGCTTGGAATGATATGAAATTTGTTTATGTACATTCTCCTTTGTGTTAGCTCCAAGTTAGGTTCAGAAGTCATTTAAATATGATTAATATTGGTTGAGTTATAGTCCTTCGAACACGCGATGTTACAACTGTATTTTTAGCACTCTTTGTTCAGAAACATTTGTGATATTTGAACTATCATATTTACCATATTCTAACTTGTAATAAGTTGACTTTTTTCCAAAGTATTTTCCTCTGTGTTAGCTACAATGTAGTCATTGTAATTAGATTAAGTCGATAATTTGGATCAGATGACTCGGGGAATACTTGATCAAGTGACTGGAGTACATTCTGTTAGAATAAATTAAAAGTCTTTAATGTCTAACACATTCTGTTAGAATTATAGTTTTATTCAGTTAGAATATACTAAAGTTATACTATTTTAAAGTTGATTATGTTTTTTTTTTTGAATTTAGGTTTTGAAGAGGCTGCCATTGATGTGGAAAATGAAGAAAACATGGAGCACGAGAGTATTCTAGCAGAATGTTATTATTTTCTAAGAATGTTATTCATTTTTGTTGATATTCTTTTAGAATATTTATAACTATATTAAAATGTATAAGACTTTTAGTTTGTAAGAATATGTATGAATTTGTATTTTAGTTCGGATGTATAAGAATATATTAGAATGTTTGTTATTTTTCAACATCTGATTCAAGAATTTTTTTTTTCTTAAATAATATTCTATTAGAATAAAATTCTGAAAGAGTATCATTCTAACAAAAAATATTCTAGTAGAATAGAATCGGTAAAAAAATTAAATTGAATTAATTAAAAAATTCAGATTTTTTTTTAATTAGGAGAATTAATCATCCTTAAAAATCTAAAAATTTCCTTTTATAAATGTAGTTATTTGTCCAAAATACTCTTTTGTTAAAAATTGTGTGATTATATGGTACATGTTACCCCATTGTAATATCATACACTCTCAAATCATGTCCATTTATTAATTTCATCCGTTGGTCCAGATCTGTGCATTCTGGCACACAATACTTAGTAAAAACAAAATAACCTAAGCATATATATATATATATATATATATATATATATATATATATATATATATATATATATATATATATATATATGAGCATGTTTTGTATTTGTCATAGCATATATTATGAGAATAAGAAAAAGTGAGAAATATGGTTAAGAATGAGAGTAAGTAACATAAAAAATGATTATATATACAACATTTTAAAGAATATATACAACTTTCTACACTACATTTTTCAAGAATAAGTCATCAATTTTTAAAGAATATACAAAAAAATTATGATATATAATATTGTAAGTCCCCAAAATTACTTATGTATCAATCAGATCCAATTGATGGTGCGGAATCCCAATCAATTGGATGATGTCAGATCAATATAGAAGAGAAGGAGAAGAAGAAGAAGATGAATCTAATGATGTATTCAATATGAATGATGCTCCTTACAATAGATTCTCTCACACACACTTCTTCTCTCTACCTTTCTATCTCTTCTCTAGCCTTCTTGTCTACTAACCGTACACTCCTACATGCACACTCTATTTATATGGACCTCCATCCATACACATGTGTACAGTCGCACACCCTGTGTACGGCCGTACACACAAACCGCAAACACATACAACATTATATAAAAATATATTTTCCTAGAAAAGCAAAGTATAAACCATATTTTTGATCCAATAATCTCCCCCTTGGTTTATAGCTTTCTTTTCTAATTGACCCAACAAGCTCCCCCTAAAAAGTAGCTGGCTTTTCTTGTTAATCTTCATTGGGAACTTGGCTTCAGCGTTAATCTTTAAATTCTTCACAGCTTCAAGAGGAACTTGATGAATCTTCAATGAATGACTTCATATTGAGCAGTTAGGCATTTCTTCAAAGTTTGAATTTGAACGCACATTGGGTGAGGAGGCTTGATGTACTGATTCTTGAAAGATAGCGCTTTCAGCTTGAGAATCTTTAGAGAGAACAGAGAGAACGAATCTTCTGGATCACTTCAGCAGGTTCATAGATAGCAGCAGAATTATTGAGGAGGCTTCAACGCAATCTGTGACATAATCTTCAATTTCAGCTTCACCTTGCTTCTGGGGTTGAAGGATGGAATGTCGAAAGAATAATCTTCATTTCTTGCTCCTCCGAATGCGAATTCTTCGATGATCACGGATGAAGTATTAGCTCAGAAATCTTCAACACAAACTCCATGAGTCTTATCTACGCCTGAAATCACTTTTCAAGACAAAACAAAACTAAAAGAAAAATTAGCACACAAAAAAAATATATTTTTTTTGTTTTTATATATTTTCTGGAAAAATAAAAATAAAAATAAAAATAAAAACAAAAATATTTTTTGTATTTTTTTATTTTTCTGAACAAGAAATAACACTATTTTTGGATTTTAATTTTCTGATTTTTGTTTGATTTTTGAATTACTTTTAATTCACCCCTAAAATTTGTGCATAGAGAAAAACTATGAACAAATTTAACAAAAATAAAATGATATCTAACTTTAAGAATGATTTGGGATCAAAGTTTTTAGATAACCTTTATCCACTCGTTGGTACCTTCTATCTTCACGTCTTTATCTAGTCGATCGTCGGTATTGTTGTCCACTTAAACACGAAAAAATGTGACAAAATTAGGACATACTATAAGTGACAAGACAATGTGATCCTAAGTTACTAGATATTATATCTGATCCTAAGTTTCTAGATACTATATCTTAAGGACCATTCAGTTGACGACGACCACAGATATTGTTGTCCACCTAAATTTAGCAGCGAGATCTATAGACAATCTTTGAGTGTTCAATTTTAATTGTACTGGAACATGTTTCTCGCTTCCTGATATGCCCCAATAATCAAAGACTTCCAGAGTACTCCTTACATCGGGTGAGCAGACAATCATTAGGAGAGAAGATAGATTCAGATTATTATCACTTATAGTTTTAGCGGGATTTAGAAGTAGAAGGTTGCATATGCTGTGTACTAGGTCAGATTGTTAATCACGCAAAGGAGACAACATATGGCTAACAGATAAGAAGAATTTCATAGATATAATATGCAGAGAAATAGATTTGCATATGTTGCAGTCCAGGTCGGATTATTTCCAATCACGCAGAGGAGGCAACATATGACTAACAGTAAGAAAGAAAGAAAATAATTTTCTACAGACCTAATTCATCGGAATTTACCAGTCGCCCCATCAATACCGTAATTAAGGACAGAATCCGCACATCGAGGAAAAGTTAAACCACGGTTCCAGATACGGGTTCATTTAATGTGACGAGTGGATTCCCATATATATCTCCCTGCTCAACCTATCCAAGCGTCGAATTTTCATGTTGAACGGAACTAACTAGGTCAAGATTTAGCAAGTCTCTAGATTCCTTAAGTTCATCTGCACCTAGCTGGGCAGTTAATTGCGCCGAGATCTCGGTGGGATAGCGTTTCGCGGGGGTATGTAAAATTGCGGTTACAAATAGCGGTCATAAATAGCGGTTCCGAGATTCTCGACGATATAGGGCGCAATTTCACCGCAATTTCAAAACCAATATCTCGTTTTTATCCCGCTATTCACGTTATTGGACTTTTTTGCTGAATTTAAAAAAAAAAAAAAAAATTCATGTGGACCAGCCCAATATCTGTAATATTCTTAGCCCAATGTCATTTATTTTCCCAATATCATTTATTTTTGGTACTTCCCTCTATGCTATCGACGACTTCTATTGTTGTACATTTGACAATTTGATATTTGGACTTTTTTAATTTGGTTATCTGGTTTTACATTTTATCTCTTTGTTCTTTTATATATATATATATATATATATATATATATATATATATATATATATATATATATACTAGAAAATTTTGAGGTCCGTACTAAGCACGACCCATAGAGTTCAACTATGCTGTGATCTCTGAGTGATGATAATTATTTTCTCACTAACTCTTAGTTATTAAAGTTGAAAGATTCTTAACTCATTTAATAGTATTTCATTATTTTTGGTTCCAAAAAAGAATCCCAATCTAAATACCAGATATAAGTTCTAAGACATGTACCAAACACTACCAAACAAGACCAATGAAGGCCAATTTATGTTTTTCCCAAAATAAGGTAAAATGTCAAACGATGAATATAAGCTATATCTTGAGCATCATTCTTTAAGATAACAGATAATATTGATATTTACTATTTCAATTTCCATTAAGGAATGAAAACAAACCCTCAGACTAAGAAATGAATTAAAAAAAATTAAAAAAAAAAAAAAAAAAAAACGACCGAATTATATTCCTTCAAGAACTGTCCAGTCCACGCCATTAGATAACACAGTCAATGTTTTTTTTCAATTCAGTGGAATAGGCTATTCCATTCCTTCCCAAATTCCATCATTACCAAAACACCTACGATTAGTAATACCAAAGCTGACAGAATCCCACCTTAAGTTTGATTTTCTATAACAATTTGTGCACCCTTCTTTTTTGTTCCATAAGCAAGTGTTTTCCCCGCACCACCAGCATCAATAACCTCAAATAGTGTACCACCCAAAGGTCAAACCCTTGCATCAGGTTTAACTCTTGAACCACTATGCAATTAGTAGAGTTTAAATATTTTCATTAAATAATTTGGAATTATAAAGAGTATTAGATCATGCACCAACATAGTTTGTATTACAATGATAAAAATTCTCATCACTTTGTCTTCTAACAATGCATTTCACTGTTCCTATTGGCCGAAAAAAAACATACCTCATTATCAATCATTTAAAATTTTCATTGATCTCTTATTTATTTATTACTTTCCTAATTATCTAGTAATCTTAGTCTAGTTAATTTATTTGTTTTGTCTTATAAATAAGACAATATTTAAAGGTATATTAGAAAAGTGCCAATCTATTACTTGCAGTGTGAGGAATTACAAAGAAGTCACCATCTCTATTATATAAAGAATGATTTTCAATTGCCAATGAGACTTGTTTTTCTTTCTCATTTCTATTGTATATTAATTTATATTTTATGTACAATGAAAGAGTTCTTATTTTCTCATGTTTATTCAAGATTGTATTAGAAAAACACAGTGGAACTAATTTGATTGAAGTAAAACTGATTACTGTCATTTAACTTCACAAAGATCTATAAATAGGGTAAGAATTTTTTAAGCTAGTTATTTTACTGATGGACAAACTAAAGAGAATAGCAACGTACTTTAGCATGAAGCTTATGCCCAAAAAGATGAAAATTTTCTATTAAAAAAGACGTAAAGATTAAGAAAACATGATAAATGAAGAAATTATAAAGGACGGGAAAACAAACCGATGCATACTTGAAGGGACATACATTGGCTGTTTTACCAAAGGAGGACCCAAAATTAAAAACCCCAATAGAATTGAAACAAATGATCTCATTGTTCTTCTAATTCGATAACAGCTATATTAAATTGCAAAGAAAGAGAAATGACAGACACATACCTCTAATAACTAATCCATTCTCCCAAATATTGTCGGTGACACCACTTTCTACCATTAAGTTTCCATATTTTAAAATATTAATTAATACAACTCCTACCTCAATTCAACACCCTGCAGCCATACTGATTAAAAAAAAAAAAAAAAAAAAAAAAAAAAAAAAAAAAAAAAAAAAACTTAGATCAGAATTTAACTGAAACCTAGAAACAATAGAAAGACAATATATATGTTCATGATTAAACTACTTACATCAAGAGATTAATTCATCAATATCAAGATTATTTTGTCACAAGAATTATGTCATGAATATGAAAAAATTAATTAATCAATATTAAAAAAAGTTCATGCCAATGATTGTGAAGATGAGCTTCCTATGTATCGATTCCGTGACTTGGCACCACTTTTATCACCACAAACCAATTACAGAAGAACCTTATAATCTTTTTTTTTGTCATTTGTTCGTTACTAAATTTGAGAGGATTCAACCACATATCCTCTCTCATAAGTAACCCACCTTGTGCCAACATCTCTAATGTTAATAGTCTGTATCCGATAGGCACTAATAATATCATCAACTATACATTTATAAAAAAATCCAATTATTATGAAGCTTAAATGCTTAATAATCTTTACGTAACAGATATTGTCTTGGATACTGTTTGTTTTTTATATAACACACTAAGTTATGTATAAGGGTTTTATTTTTGACTTACTAAAGAAAGAACTATCTACAAGAGAATGTGAGGGAGAGAAGGATTCCCCACTAAGTCCTAATTTTTAGTTCCTTCATTTATTCTCATGTTATATGCAATATATAAAAAAGCATTTCCATTGATTTTTTTTTACCGAATGTCTTGATATTTAAAAGCGCAAATGTCCTAAAGAGAAAAAATAATAATAGGACAATGCTTTAACCGGTTAGAGTTTTCAAAAATAATTTGCCTTAGTAACAAAACAAATAGAAGTAAAATGCTATTATAAAAAGTAGTGAAAATTGGATATTATAAGACAAATAAATTAAATTACCTTATCAGGAGAACAAAAACTGTGCAATTTGCCTACATTTAGTCCCATTATAGACAATGTACTTTTATAAACTTACATTTAATTGCAAAAAACAAACATTAACTTTTCAAGAGAAAATCCTAGCACCAAACACCATAGTCACATGAGAGCGTCTATATATCATGGCATAACTCGAAGGAGGCAAGATATAAAATGAAAGATTCATGGCAATTTTTAATCTGCAGAAATTAAAAACATTTTTCAATTAGAGAAATCATAATAGCTCCCATACCGAAAGAAAAAATAAATCCCCAAAGAAAGTTTAGCTTCACAAAAGAACTTCCAAGTTCAATGGTTGCTTCAACAAAACTGGAACTTTTATTCCTATGTGAGACTTCAATGAGTTTCCATGAGCATCATCATAATATTCTAATAAGAAGCATTATCTTTTGGAAACTCTTTTCCATATATATTACATTGAAGAAGCAATATATCCGGTCATGAATATGTGATGCATGAACTGGAGGAGCATGTGAGGATATAAAATGTTTAACAATGAAGAAAGTAACATTGACAAACAAAAAATGATGAACATCGAGCATGTGAGGATATAAAATGCTTAACAATGAAGAAAGTAACATTGACAAACAAAAAATGATGAACACCTGATAAGTTTTTTTAACAAACAGTTGGTGGGTATAACACAAAGGTTACAATCTTTCTTATATTTATGCCATTTTTTTTGGGTATTAATGCATTTAGGGTGAAGATTGAAAGAACTTAAAACCCAAATGAAGGTTTCTCTGCTACCAAAAAATAACAAACGGATGAATTGACAAAATACACTATGAATTCTTTCAAAAGAAACCAAATTAACAACCCTTCGTCAATTGCAAGAAGTTTTCCTTCCGTCGGAAACCTAGCAAAAATGGGCCTAAGAACCTCTTCATGTTTAAGGAAAAAATATGCTATAGATACAAACTACTACATCAAAAACGATTTTGTAGAGTAGAGATTCATCGATTTCCACAATTTTCTTCGTTTCAGATTTATAATCGAAAATAGAATCTAAGCATAAGCACACACACGCACACATGTACATATGTACCTTAAAAAACTCCACGAGAACTTACGATCACAGTGTTATCTTTGACAAAATCAACGAACATGTCTTCCCCATATGTGTATTTTCTGTTAGGAAAATTCATGAAAACAATATAAGATCGACGAGGGAGAAGGAGAAGAGAGACGATGGAGAATAGCGGCTAAACCCGGAAGGAATTGGGAAACTTTGTGTTGATGATACGGTAATGGAAGACATAAGAGGGAGTCTGTGGGTATCGTATCGATGATAAAGCGGCGTGGATCCACTTTGAAGGAACATGCCGACTTTAAAAAAGTGACGGTACCCATTGAGCAACCTCAATCGATTTACATCAAACCCGGCTAGATGTCAGAGAGAGACACTGTTGGAGAGTTGTGAGGAGACGCAAAGAAAGACGATCGAGGGAAACGGTGGTCGGAAAAAAATGTCTATGAGTGAATCGGTTGTTTGAATAAGCGATGTAAGATGTTGTGATAAATCGATGTTGATGAAGCGGTGTTATGGAATAATAGGTGTTGTGTCTATGAATCGAGTTTATTTCCATCGCGTCCTTTAGAATATAATTGACGTGGCATCCAATAAGCCATGTAAGTTTGATTTTGGTGGAATGAGAATAATAGGGCTTTTTATATATAATAATGATAATGATATATATATATATATATATATATATATATATATATATATATATATATATATATATATATATATATATTATATAGGGTTAGGTTAAACTGTTTTTTATATTTATTGTGTTTTAGAATGCACCAATAGGAATTTGGTAAAATTATATTATTATTTAATTAAATAATGATAAATATTAAATGGTTTCCATAATTGTATGTATATTAAATGATGTATAATTTTTTCCTTATGGAAATTAATTAAATTCGTTATTAATGTCAGCAATAACATTCTTTCATAATAAATTCGTATCTAGGTTTTTATGTCAGCAATAACATTATTTCAAGACTCACTCACTTAAAATACAATAAAGTTGTATAAAATATGAAGAATGAGGGTGCATTCTAGTGGAATATACTCTCGTTCTCCTAGAATACACTCATATTATTTTATATATGAATTCATTCTTAAAGAATATTATTACTGATATTAATTACGAATTAAATTAGTTTCCATAAAAAAGAATTATAAATATGGATATCATTTAATATACATTTAATGTTTACTCAATTCTTATTGGTGCATTGTAGCACACAATAGATGTGATAAACATTTGAACCTACCTCTCTCTCTCTATCTTTCTCTCTCTCGCTGACTCTCTCTCTCTCTCTCTCTCTCTCTCTATATATATATATATATATATATATATATATATATATATATATATATATAAACCTTCCATCCTTGTTTTTTCTGGAATCATATCTACCAATCACCTTCACCATGTTCATCTTTCACCTTGAAAATATCATTTGTGATTTCAATCAAGAAGCTTTCTAATTTGCCTTTGTTCCATTCATCAAAGGTTTCAACTAATTTTGTGTTGCTTAACCCACCAACATTTTTCAAAACATCATAAGATTCAGAAACCGATTGCATATCATTTCATAAGAGAACACAAGATTAATTACACATCATTTCATATGAGAACACAATATCCAGTTGCAAAAATGGAAGCAATTAAGGGATCATCAACATTCACCGGTGCAACCGAATCATGATGATTACACACACCATTTTTGTTAAAGGAATAGTATTAGAAGATTGGTAGGGAATAGAGACTCACCAAGTTGGGTGTCAAAGTCCCCAAACTGCGATGCAACCATGTCGTAGATGGTCCAAGCCAATGGGTTCCCCCAATAGTACCATCTCCACTACACCGGAAGCATCTGTAAAAAGGGCACCCAAGTTGTATCAGAAGGTGCAATTGAACAATAAAGAATGTAAATAACAATAGGTTTTTTAGAATCTTACAAGTCGTGGGATAATGAACCTTGAAAAGAGATTGAAGATTCCGAAAAATGAGCCAGCAATGATAGCAGCAATGTTAGCGTTGGGTGTAATGGCGACTGTCATCATACCGTAGTATGCCATGTAGAGTAAAGAGCAGAACTAGAAGAAAAAGTACCAGAAGATCTTGGCTATTGTCCAATCAAACCCGTTAGGACCGATAACTGTTGTCCAATTGATGATCTTTACGATAGAGAGACAATGATGGGGGTGGGAGTCTGCGATTGATTTTTTTTCAAACAACGACAAGTCATCGTCCGACTCACAGGCTCACAGTCACACGGAAATCATACTTGGTTCGTGAAAAGGGGATAAATCGCTTGATATAATGATGTTACACGGAAATCGCAATCGACAACAGAACGGAGATATGATGATGATGGTGATCGGCTCACAAAAATTTTGGGGAAAATATTGGTGGTCGAGGTGAGGAACATAAATAATCATTGAAGATAAGATTGGCAGAGGCTGTGATTGATTTTTTTAAGGGTTTGTAACATATTAAAAGAAAGTTGGATTATTTTTAATTTGAATTTAATTGTTTCCATAAAAAACATGATTATAGTTAAGGATATTATTTAAGGAATATACAATATTACTAATCTATCCTTATCTATTAATTAAAATTTTAAATTAATTAAATTTGAAATGATTGGTCCATAATGATTACTACATCCACACAATAATTAGTTAGAATACTTAAACCTAACTTCTATTTGATAAATATTATTAGTAATTATAATAGCTATACCAATTATTAGTGTTGCATTTAGATTCCAAGTATACTTTCTTATTATAAAAAACCCATCATGCAATTAAGCACCTTTAATAACATATCCAGTATTCAATTCTAATGGTATCAGAGCTACAACTCTCCTAAACCTCCTATCTTTCTCCTCTTATCTTCTGTTCCAATCGTTCATAATACCTTGATCATCAAGGAATCTCAACATCTTGCCAAGACCGATTGCTTCCTCTCAAGTAACTCCTCAAAACATCGGTCATCTCCTTCTCTTTCTGATCTCCATATTTTCTCTTCTCCATGGATATAACTCTATAAATGGACAACAGCCAATACTCGACATGATCCATAATCTTCCAAATAAATTGTCGGGCCTATCGGGTGCTAGATCACATATATATATATATATATATATATATATATATATATATATATATATATATATATATATATATATATATATAGTTAGGTTTATGTGAAACGGTCTAATTTTGTGAGACCGTGAGACGCATTTTTTTTTATTTTTTTTAGTTAATTCAAGTTCCGAAAATAATATTTAAAAAAAGAATTTTTTGATTTTTCCATTTATTTTGCATTTTAAAATTATTTTTAGAATATGTACAGTGTAATATTCTATTTAGAATATTTCACGTACTTTTAAAAAAAATAGGATTTTTTTTTATTTTTTTTAGTTAATTCAAGTTCCGAAAATAATATTTAAAAAAAGAATTTTTAGATATTTCCATTTATTTTGCATTTTAAAATTATTTTTTAGAATATGTCATTGTAATATTCTATTTAGAAAAAACAGGATTTTTTTATTTATTTTTTTTAGTTAATTCAAGTTCCGAAAATAATATTTAAAAAATAATTTTTGGATTTTTCCATTTATTTTGCATTTTAAAATTATTTTTAGATTTGGTCTCACGGTCTCCCAAAATCAGAATGGTTTCAAATTAACCTGAAACTATATATATATATATATATATATATATATATATATATATATATATATATATATATATATATATATAGTTAGGTTCATGTGAGACGGCTTAATTTTGTGAGACCGTGAGACGCATTTTTTTTATTTTTTTTAATTTTTTTTATTTTTTTTATTTTTTTAATTTTTTTTAGTTAATTCAAGTTCCGAAAATAATATTTAAAAAAAGAATTTTTTTGATTTTTCCATTTATTTTGTATTTTAAAATTATTTTTAGAATATGTACAGTGTAATATTCTATTTAAAATATTTCACGTATTTTTATAAAAAATAGGATTTTTTTTTAATTTTTTTTAGTTAATTCAAGTTCCGAAAATAATATTTAAAAAAAGAACTTTTAGATTTTTCCATTTATTTTGCATTTTAAAATTATTTTTTAGAATATGTCAATATAATATTCTATTTAGAATATTTCACGTATTTTTCAAAAAAAACGGGATTTTTTTAAAATTTTTTTATTTATTTATTTTTAGTTAATTCAAGTTCCGAAAATAATATTTAAAAAAAAAAAATTTGGATTTTTCCATTTATTTTGCATTTTAAAATTATTTTTAGATTTGGTCTCACGATCTCACAAAATTAGCATCGTCTCAAATGAACCTGAACTTATATATATATATATATATATATATATATATATATATATATATATATATATATATATATATATATATATATACTAGAAAAGTTTGAGGCCCGTGCTAAGCACGACCCACGAAGGGCAACTTGGGTATATCTTTTGTTTTCTTAACAACATTGATCTCTTTAGTAATTTGACTTCTCTCGAGTCGCTTCACGTCCCAAATAACCCTTGCATGAACTCTTGGTTAGAACTGAAAGGGTTGTCTAGTAATGTACGTCGTAATCTCATTTCCTTAGATATTAGTTTTTGTGGCGTTTCTAGTTCACTTCTTGATGATGCCCTTCACAACTTGACTTCCCTACTTAGCCTTGATTTGTCAAAAAATGAACTCACCAAAACAATCCCCAAGTCATTGGCTGATATTTTCAATTTGAGACATGTTAATTTGGGAGGTAACTATTTTCCTAACAAGATTTCTTGAAAGTTTTTTTTGAGTGCAAGCCATCGAGCTTGGTGTCATTATCTCTTGGGTCCTCTACATTTTCTGGTCATCTACCATATGGAATCGGACAAGTGATAAAGTGTTGGATACATAACACCCACACCTTGTACCTTTGAACCAATCTGCAATGCAACAGATAACAGAACACAAGGGTTAAAGAAAACTAATAGCAACATACTTTTGTTGAATTTTTTATTATAGCATTCTAATTTCAACTCCCAACATAACAGAGTAATTCATAATGATTCGGGAACAAAAGTAAATATCCCTCTAGACATGGGCGGGTATATTTTATAAAATGAATGGTTTCGAAATTTATGGTTACAACTACCATAACTATGTAAGTATCATGTCGTTTCATGAAAGTGGAATGTTATTTACAAGTACACTACCATCAGAAACTTTAAAAAATTGACATTGCATTAAACCTTGAATAATTTCACAACTGCCAGCAATGAAAAACATTATTTTACTACTATTCTATTAGACATTAAACAATAATAAAAATACAATTTTTTTTTTTAAATTAGACCTCACATTAGACATTAAACCTTCAGTGTATGTAATGATTGGCCTATCAAATAAATACAAAATCCATAATTATATGTTTAAATATAAAAAAAACAGGAAAAAACAAAAACGAATACATGAAATAGTACACAAATAACCAAAACAGAGATGATAGTTAGCT